ATACTTGCCTAAGCAAGGCAGAGGCAAGGCCAAGAGGCCAGAGAAAGGCCTGCCTGAAGGCATGGCTGAGAAGCTGTCCTGACTGAAGAACTATATCCTGAGTCATGTCTGATCCTGAGTTGTACCGTTATTTCCCCAATAAATCCCGTAATTTTGAGTATGGTCTGTAAGTTTTGAGTGGCCACTGCAATGAATTACTGAACGCAGCAGAGAAGTAGAAAGTGCTGTGGGAGGGACAGCTGGTGTCAGAATTGGTAAAAAGGTTGGAAGGTGGACGTATGTCTGACCTCTGCCTCACAGAAATCAGCTTTGGGCTACTGATGGTGATAATAATTCTGTCTCCTTCCCCTTGTGAAGTTAGAGGAGGTCAGACGCCTCCACACCATTTTTATACCTTTCTATTCCTCTGATTTTAACTATTTGCTCTAAACTGGAAAAGAAGCCCCCCCCCCAATAATAGCCTAAGTGTGTACTTTAAAAATATTACATCATCTAATTCTTACAATAACTGTTAGGTAAATATTGTCTCCATTTTCCAGATGAGAAAACAGGTTTAGAACAGTTTAATAAACTGCTCAAGGTCACACTATTAGTAAGTTACAGAACTAAGACTCAAACCCAGATCTGCCTGACTCCAAAGCTCATGCTCTTAAATCCTATGCCAGTTGTTATTCCTTTTTAATTTTTACCAAAGTTACACAAGCACAGTTGAATGAGTCAAAGAGTTCTACAAATTTTGTTAAGAAAAACAGCAATCCCTGCCAGCCACCTCCCCATACTACCTCACCCCAGAGATGACCACATTCACCTGCCTGAGCTGATCATTTTGACACTTATTTCTATGTCCATAAATAACATGCTTGTGTTGCTAGTTGTTTATTTTTTCATTTTGGGGCATTATCTATTATCTTCCTACCAAGGAAGATGAGAATTTTTACTTCTCTTTCCTATAAGGACCCCTTCACAAACACACACCTCCATCCCCCCATTCTTTTAGGAGTTAAATTATAATGTTGGTTACACCGATATTTAAATCATTTTGACTATCTAAACATTATTCAGAGCTAAGCCAAATAGTGAACTCTAATTTTTTTTCTTTCTTTCACAACTTTGTTTTCCCTGTAGTCAATAACTGTCTTGTCTTTTTGTTTTCTTAATTTTCTATGTATAGTACATATAACTAATTCAGTCCCCAAACACTTCACCAATTGTCTAAATCTCCTCTCAAGAAGTTCAGATGCATTAGATATTCTATGAATTTAAACTACCCGAAGAAGTCTCTCCCGGAGCCTTCTGACCTGCTCAATCTGGGCTGATTTGCCTGGTATGCACTGCTGTCATCCTGGGCTCTTCCTTTATCCTCATCCAGGGGACTCCTTTCATGTCTCTCCTGTGTTGGTGCTCCTGTTCCTTGTATCCCATGTTTTCATCTTTCTTGATTTACTCCCTTGTTTGGTAGAGCACATCCTCCAGTAGCTTCCTGAGAAAGGGTGCATGGGAGGTAAATTTTTGAGACCTTGTAGCCTGCAGGTATTTTTATTCTACCCTCATCCTTGATTTATAGTTTGGCTGGATATAGAATTCTAGGTTGGAATTTATTTTCCTGTAGAATGTCGAAGGCACCGCTCCACTGCCTTCTAGCTTCCAATGTAGTTAACAGTCTAAGGCAATTCTTTGTATGTGACTTGTTTTTTCTCTCTGGAAACTTGTAGGATCTTCAATTTGTTCCCAGTGTTCTACAATCTCATGATGACTGTGCTCTGGGTAGGTCAATTTCATCCATTGTGCTGAATAGTCAATTGGTCCTTTCAGTATGAAAACTAATTTTCTTCAGTTCCAGGAAATGTTCTTGAATTATTTCCTTCCCTTAGTGTTTTCATTTTTCTCCTTCTGTAGCTCCTATTATTCACATAGTAGACCTCTTAGACAGATCCTTTAAGGTTTTTGTTTGTTTGTTTGTTTTGCTAAATATGTTTTCTTGCCTATTTTCCACTTCTTTGATTTTTAACTCTACTTTCTGGGAGAGTTCCTCACCTTGATTTTCCAAACCTATTGAGTTTAAATTTTTTGCTATTATATTTTTAATTTCCAAGGGCTCTTTTTGTTTTTTGAAAATTCCTTTTTTTATTGTATCCTGTACTTGTTTGATGGTGCAAATATGTTCTTTTATCTAAGTACATATTAATGTTAACTTTTAAACTGTTTTCTTTGCAGTAGCTCTTCCCCCCAGTTGCTTTTTTCTGGTTGTTTTCTTGTGGGGAAGAGTGGCAGTTTGTATTACTTCTTTTCATGTTACAGGTTTTCTTCAGCTGTCTGGTAATCCTTGGTTTAAAGGAAGATTCAGATCATATTTTCAGAGTGGAGACTTTAAAGCTGATTAGATGCTCTAAGCATGTGAATGAGGCTTGTTGACTGTGAGCCATTTAGAAGGGGAACTTTCAATAGTTATATTTTTAGGATTTTCCCACTGAGCTGGTCAGATTCTGAATAGGATTATCCAAATTCCTGTTTGGAGGGTGAAGTCTTTTCTGACGGCGTTCTGGAAGCTGAATGGGGGACGAGGGCTCCGTGCCCCTATTTTTAGTACAGTACCTCAGCCCTCAACCATGCCTGAGTCCCACTCTAGACCTCCAGTCTTTGCCAACGTTTGGAGGAGGAGTTGCCCAGTTGCATTAAATGGGATAAGGAATCTGACTGCTTCTTAGCTTTCCCTACTGCTAGTTTATAATTCAGTTTTTTCAGCTCTGTTAGTCATTTAGCACTCTCTGTCTGCTTTTCAGCTTCTAAAAAGTTGTTGCTGTTGTCTCCTCTCTTGTTCTCTCTATCCTTTAAAAAAATTAATTTACGGTGGTTTTAATGGATTTCTGTGAAGGAATGAAAGTGGATGTGTATATTCAAGCCACTATTTTTTTAATTGTTGTGCTTTAAGTGAAAGTTTACAATTCAAGTTAGTCTCTCATACAAAAATTTATACATACATTCATTGTTTTGTGACCCTAGTTGCTCTCCTTATACCATGACAGCACACTCCTCCTTTCCACCCCCGATTTCCTGTGTCCATTCAACCAGCTCCTGACCCTCTCTGCCTTCTCACCTTTCCTCCGGACAGGAGCTGCCCATTTAGTCTCACGTATCTACTTGAGCTAAGAAGCACACTCTTCACGAGTACCATTTTATGTCCCATAGTCCAGTCTAATCTTTGTCTGAAGAGCTGGCCTTGGGAATGGGCTAACAGAGAATCCGGGGGCCATGTCTTTCGGGGTCCCTCTAGTCTGGTCTTTTACTAGAATTTGAGTTTTGCACTCCATTTTTCTCCGACTCCATCAGGGACTTTCTGTTGTGTTTCCTGTCCAGGACAGTCATTGGTGGTAGGCAGGCACCATCTAGTTCTTCTGGTCTCAGGCTGATGAAGTCTCTGGTTTATATACCCCTTTCTGTCTCTTGGGCTAATACCTTCCTTGTGTCTATGGTGTTCTTCATTCTCCTTTACTCCAGGTGGGTTGGGACCAACTGACAAGCCACTATTTTTAACTGGATGCCTGCCATTATTTTTCAAACTTGAGAATTCACAGACTCCCAAGAATATGTCTTTGGATGCTCACTTTAAGATATACTACATTGATATTTAAATATTGTCATTTTAGATCAGAGGTCCACAAACATATTTGACTTGGATTTCTCGGTGTTTTATTTAAAAATAATTTAAATCAGTTGCCAATTTTTAAAAATCTGGAGATTTATACAACAATCCCCAGCCTCTTTTGAAAATTAGAACATCTTCCTGAATAGTAACATTGACTGGACCTGGACAGTTGCTGCTCCTTTTAGATGGGACATGATAGCTATAGGCTGTCATAGGCAAATGCAGCCTACTTCACTGCTTGGTCCAGGTAGACTATTTGAGTTTTGACCCTTGTCTTGGTGCTAATGCAAGTGTACTCAGAAACATAAAAGCAAGCACTGATAATCATGTGGCAGTACTCAATTATGAAGAGTCATCCAGGTAATTCAGAATATGACTATATTAACTTTTTTGGATAACAACAAAATGAAAACAGAAAATTTTAAAATTCTGTGAAGAACTCATAGAACCTCAATATGTCCAAGGATCCCCTACACGATACTACCTCTAGAAGTTTATACTCAGCCCATATTTCAATCCTCTGGGAAAGCATGTACCCCTAATGCCATAATCATGTCCTAGGAAGACCTAGGGGTGTTCCTGAGAAAATTTCTTTACCAGAGATGCCTGTGAGTTTTGCTTCTTTCCATATGGTTTAGCATTTGCCCTTTTTATTCTAACCAGGCATTTGGGTAGGCATTAGAACCGCCTTCTCCTGTGCCCTGGATTTTAGAGTTTAGGGGCGTTATTTCTAGATTGGTCCTAAGGGCTTTCAAGGTCTTTCTATAGTTTGTGGTGTACACTCAGTAAGCTCACCAGATGATAAAAAGCGTGGTGGTATGATTTCTGGACTACTAAGAAGCTACTAGGGACTTCTAAAACATGGTTAGGCAGCACAGGGTTCCCCGTACTTCAGAAGTTTCTCTCAATTTTGATAATTGAAGATAACTTTAATCATCCCCACTCTAACCAAGATTTATTCCTGAGTTCTCTTGTCTAAACTATTGTTCCTGATTTGTATGGTTTGGCACACTATCTGGCCCAGCTTTGATTTTCCCAGGGAGTATCCTGGGTGGTGCAAACAGTTAATGCATTCAGCTGCTAACCAAAAGGCTGGAGGTTCAAGTCCACACAGAGGTGTCTCAAAATAAAAGCCTGGAGATTTACTTCTGAAAAATCAGCTACTGAAAACTCTATGGAACACAGTTCTGCTCTGAAACACATGGGTTTGCCGTGAGTTGGAGCTGACTTGACAGCAATTGATGTTTTGTTTTGTTTTGTTTTTCAACTCTAAGAGAGATTCAGAAGCACTGCTGAAAACAAGTTAGGGTCTGGCTGTTGATCTCATACCCCAGTCTTCTTTCTTCAGTGAACTTACCTTGAGGATGCTCACCTTCCAGAGCTAGGGAGCTGTCTGAAGACGTGACCTGGAAAGACAAGAAAAACACAGATTCAGCCTAACCTAGCTCCATGCATTTTAGCCCGGCAACATTAGTGGAGGGGCTGGTGCACTAATGAGTTCCTCTAAAGCACTACAAGACCCTTTACAAATGTATCTTATTTAATCTCCATAACAATCCCGAGATACATATTTTCACAGATTAGGAAACCAATCGAGGTTCAAGAGACATGAAGCAACCTGCCCAAGGTAACATTGCTGGGAAGGGGTGAAGTAGGGATTTGAACACAGATCTGTCTGGTTTCAAAGCTCCTATTCTTACCTCTTATATACTACATTGCCTTTCTGATGAAACATTAGGTCTTAAAAGCTGAAACTAAAAAATCTGAGCTTAGGGCAGACCCCACAATATTTTCACAGATCTACCGTATTAAAACAGGGAAGCCAGAGAGACAACACTGCTTTCCCCTAAAAGTCACGAGGCAGAGCTGTGGGCACTAGACTCACAGACAGAACCCTTTCCCTTACCACTGAGAGACATCTGGGAGGATCCCAGCAGATGACTGTCAGCCAGACAAGGCTTGAATGACTGAGAGGTGAGTGAGGAGCATAAATGTTCTGAAACTGGAGGCTTGAGTCCTCTCAGCACCCTTGTGAGTCAAAGCCCAGGGTATGCTGGTTTTCCAAGTTTCCTTGCCCAAGAGCACCCTGAACACACAAACATTTAGAACCATCTCTGTGCTCCCTCAAGTGAACACACCTGCAAATTTCATTGTTATCCAGGAACCCAGGAGGGATCATGACAACTTTCATCCATTGGAATGAACAGTTTTGGCTCCATTCACTCTGGGTAGTGTATTTTTTTGCAAATAATGTGCCCATGCCAAAGAAATGTGATCCAATACAATGCGGAAATTATACAACAATATCATTAATATCACATGCAAGTAAAATCTGGACTCGGGGTTCCTGCACCAAGAAGCTCCTTGACCGGGGAAGACTGATGACAAGGACCTTCCCCCAGAGCCAAAACAGAAAGCCTTCCTCGGGAGCTGGCACCCTGAATTCGGACTTCTAGCCTCCTAGACTGCGGGAGAATAAATCTCTCTTTGTTAAAGCCATCCACTTGTAGTATTTTCTGTTATAGAAGCACTAGATAACTAAGACAGTGCTCATGTGGAACCTGTACATAGACCAAGAGGCAGTCGTTTGAAGAGAACAAAGGGATATCGCGTGGTTTAAAATGAAGAAAGGCGTGCGTCAGGGTTGTATCCTCTCACCATACTTATTCAATCTATGTGCTGAGCAGATAATCCAAGAAGCTGGACTATATGAAGAAGAATGTGGCATCAGGATTGGTGGAAGATTCATTAACAACCTGTGATACGAAGATGACACAATCTTGTTTTCTGAAAGCGAAGAGGACTTGAAGCACTTACTGATGAAGATCAAAGACTACAGCCTTCAGTATGGATTACACCTCAACATAATACAAAAATCCTCACAACTGGACCACTAAGCAACATCATGATAAACAGAGAAAAGATTGCAGTTGTCAAGGATTTCATTTTACTTGGAACCACAGTCAATGCCCATGGAAGCAGCAGTCAAGAAATCAAATGATGTATTGCACTGGGCAAAAGATAAAGATGTCACTTTAAGGATTAAGGTGTGCCTGACCCAAGCCATGATATTTTCCATCACCTCATATGCATGCAAAAGCTGGACAATGAATATGAAAGATCAAAGAAGAATTGATACCTTTGAATTATGGTGTTGGTGAAGAATACTGAATATACCATGGACTGTCAGAAGAACGAACAAGTTTGTCTCGAAAGAAATACAGCCAGAGTGCTCCTTGAAAGCAAGGATAGAGACACTTTGTCTCACATACTTTGGACATACTATCAGGAAGAACCAGTCCCTGGAGAAGGACATCATACTTGGTAAGGTACAGGGTCAGCAAAAAAGAGGAAGACTCTCAACAAGATGAACTGACACAGTGGCTGCCAACAATGGCTTCAAACATAGCAACGATTTGTAGGATGGCACAGTACTGGGCAGTGTTTTGCTCTGCTGTACGTGGGGTCACTGTGAGGTGGAACTGACTCGATGGCACCTAACAACACAACAACAACATGCCCATGTAAATAATGTGCCCACACATATAACACACGGAAATGATGAAATTAAATAAAACAGTTCTGGCATAGCGTGCCCATGTGTATATCAGTAGCACATGTTTCATTACATTTCCAGAAGTGAATTTCAGCCTCATTCATCCCTCCTCCCATATTACAGGTAAATCATATCATTCTGTTCATTTTCTTTCCTTCTGTTCATTTTCTTTAATTTCCTGCTTATGTATAGAAAAATAGTCTGAAAATGTTACTTTTGATCATAATTGCATAATAAAGATATAAGCCATGGTCAAGAAGTCATGGATCGAGTTTGATAGTCCCCCAGTAATCAGAAAATAAAAATCAAAACTGAGCATTTGTTTCTATTAAGTTGATAATTATAGCACATCAGCTTAAGAGTTGATCTATTGGTAAATACATTTGACTTAAATTTCAAGTAATGTAAAATCAATACTTACCTTAAGTGAAGTTTCCACGTGATCAGAAATAGAAACTGAAGTCAGCAACACGTTAAAAAAAAAACATTGGCATAGCACGCTCACAAAAATAATGTGCAGGGGGGTTTGTGCAGTTGGCAAAAACATATAATGTGTGCCTTATTTGCATAAAAATATGGTAATTCCATAAACTAACTTTAAACCATACTTTACTTCCAGAGCTTCTATGTTGTTGTTGTTAGGTGCCAATGAGTCAGTTCCGACTCATAGAGGCCTTAGCTTAAACTGGGAGGTTGGCTGGCAAACAGGGTCAAGTTGGCAGGACAGCCCTAAATTTCTATTCCCTAATGGGCGAGGGGGGAGGAGGAAAGGAAGGGTGATCTCCCTCTCTTCTCTCCTGGCTGTATAAGTCTTTCAGCTGGTATTCTGGCAAGGCTATTGGAACAATAGCCTCATGATTTTTAAGTGGGTGTGAGGGCTGTTTAGCAGTAAAGATACACACATGGTATAACAGTCTCACAAAGGCAAAGGAACAGCTACTTCTGTAGAAATTACTGCACCCACCATATGATACTTACATCCTGCAAGGGCTACAGTTATTTTGTTCATATACACATTTTGTTCATTATCTATCCAAACATATTATAAATTCCTGGAAGCCTGGAACTGTTTTATAATACTTCTTTGTATATCCCATAGCACCTAGCCCAGGGTTTTGCATGTAATTCTCAACTGGTGTGTTTTTTAATTCCCAAATTAATAATGTTTATGATTCACACTGATATGAACAGAGAGACCAAACACTAAGTTACAGGGAGAGAAAAAAGACATATAGCTAAATAGGGATAAAAATAATGACATAAGAGGCACAAATGAATATGTGATTTTATCTTTCTGTTTCTCCACACCAAACCTGTTGCCACCGTAGGGTAATTATGTCCACTCTTCTCTACTTTTAATAACATAAGGGACCTGTGAAATTTCACTATACAACATAAATACAAAATATTATTAGAGACAGAGGCTAGATCTGACATGTAGACTCACAATTTCTTCCAAATTTCTGATCCACATTTCCAATAGTTTGCCTGACATCAATACAAAACAGCAATATCTGTCCCTCCAATCCTATTCTTCTTGCTGTGGTTCCCGTCTTTGTTTACTGCATGGCTGTCTTCCCAGGTGCCTAGAATTGCAGCCTTGATTCCTTCACTCTCCTTAACATCTATAAGCTATGCTGATATGTTAGCAATGCCTCAAGTGCATCTTTCTCCTTTCCACTTTGAGAGCCTTAACTTAGGCTTTTACCTCTCACTTTGCAACATTCTGTAAACTGGTCTCCTTGCCCCAAATCTATCTCCTCTTCAATTAATCTTTCATGCTGTCACCAAGTTTTCTCACCAAAACATCTCAGGTTTGGAAGGGACTTTCATCTCCAACAACAAGGAACTCACTAATTCAATCCATTTACAGGAAGCTGTTAAGAGTACTTCTAAAGCACATTCACTGCCTTGCTCATAAACCCTTCATGGGTCCCCTTCTTACAAAACAAAGTTCAAACTTGGCAGGTATGCAGTACCTTTAACCTGACCTCAGCCTTCAGCCTGACCTCAGCCGGCTTTCTCCCACTGTGACCAAAATCCAAAGCTCCAACAACATTAAATCACTGGCTCATCCCCAGTTATTCTCTACATACCCCAATTTCTATGCCCTTGTTTAAATGTTCCCTCAACCCACGTCTCCCTCTCCTATGCTTCCGCAGCCCCTTGTTTTCATCTTGATTATAGCATTTATTACAGTCTATCTTACATAACAGCTATCACTGGCTTGCCCTCACCCCCAATTCAGACAGACTGAGCCTTTTCAAAGCTGGGCTGGGCTTTCTCTTCTCTTTAAAACAATTTATATCTCTATAACCTAACTCAGTATGTAAAGTGTGAGGACTAAACTAGAAAATCTATATAAAAATGCTTTGTAAAGCATAATACATCTACAAATAAGTAAAAAATTTTAATTGTGATTGAATGTAATGGAATCAAACCCTTTATTCTTGCTCAAAACTCTCTTAATCTGTAGGAACAGACTCTTTGTCTGGGTGAACAACTGCAAATCATTTTCGCACTTTGATCTCAGCTTTTTCTTTATAACATGAGGAACATAACCTCTCTGCAGGCAGAGAAAGGGTATGGCAAAGGAATTACTCTGGGTATGTAAACTAATCCAAGGAAAGTTGAACCGGCAGCCCCTACACAACTACAGCAGCAGATGATAAAACCAAGATGGGAAAAGTGACCGCCTGACAGAAAACACATAGTTAAAACTGTGGAGAGGGAACTGGATGGGAAGGGTTCCAGAGTTCTAGAAAAAGGCTCCTGAGAGTGAGGGGGATCCCAACATACAGCAGGCAACCTATAGTATCTCTGGGAGGGTGACAGGGACTTGCCACAACTGGCCAATGCCTACTTGCCAAGAATGAGTTCTGCCAACATGCCTGCTTAGAATCGCACAGCAGGGCATGACCTAAACTTGTTCAGGGACACAGTGGCCTCTATCACCGAAAGATTCCCTCTTTCAGGGAAACGCCACTTGTCGGTGTGAACTCGCTGAACACAATGCAGTATAAAAGCCTTTCAGATGTTTCTCCTGCCAGAGACTGCAGGGATCACAGACAATCGGGGGCCAGGTGTTACCAGCAAGCGGGAGTCCCTCCGAACCCCTTCTGCCCTACCCAGGAAAGCAGGATCACAACCCAGCTATCTAAGGGAAACCCCACGGCTTGAGGTGCTAAGAAAGGAGGCCCAAGGTTGACTGGGAGTGCTTGCATTTCAGGAGGAAGCTAGAGTCCCTACTTGCTCGGGTTGAGGGCAGGGATGACGGAAGGCACCGGCGCGGCCCAGTCCTAGGAGATGCGCCTAATGAAGGCGCAAAGGGGTAGGGTCACCGGACAGAACAGACGCCCGACTTCTGCTCGTTTGCTCTGCACCAGCGCCAGCCCCTACCCAGCCCTCCTGGTCCCCTAACAGGGGTCTCAGGCTCCACAGCGCCCCCCACCGCCCTTCCGCGTTTCTCACCGTCTCCATCGCAAGAAGCGCGGGCTTGGCTCGTTCGCTTTAGGAAGCTAGCGGAGGTAGGCCCCGCCTACGTCCGGCACCGCGATGCCACTTCCGGTGCGTTACGACAGACGCCAACCAACGGCGGAAGGCGGGGAGTCAACCCTTCCGGAGGCGGCCTTGCCTCGGGAGCCGCCCTTGCCTCGGGAGCCGCCCTCTCTGGGATCATCGCGAACCCCACAGATCGTGCTGACGGCGAGGGTGATGGGACGGAGCCGCTTGTATTTAAAATGTTCCTTTTTTTATTTGTCGTTTAAAAACAAACTTGGAAGAAGCAAAATCCAAAACTTGCCCTTTGCCTCTCGCAACATAAATTATGTACATTTCAGAATGACCGCTGATACAAAACATGCCAAGGACAGGGGCGCTGGGGGTGGAGGGAAAGGGCGCTTTAAAAAAGGAATCATTTCATCCGTTGTTACGAAGGACAAACCTTGCTGTACAGGATACACACAACACAAAATAAAGTCTTCACGGGATTCACACTTGTCAGCGATTTATTTTTTAAAAAGGGGTAGGGTTCTGGAGGTGCGGGGAGAAGACTGTAATGGGGAAAACTGAAAATTGAGTATGTGCAAGTGTAAACCAACCCAAAATACAAACACGGGGGAAGGGAGGGGAGGAGGGGATTCTGATGCAATTATACAGGCGGGG